GAGAGGGAACATATCGAAGAGTGTCTGTGCGAAAAATTAGTATAATGCGTCCACTAAAACTCAAGATGAAAGGCCTGAAGTTGCCGTGAATCGCTGTTTTGTTTAACTGAGAAAATGGCAAAAACAACTTAGCAGCAACTTATCGTCGGCTAACTCAAAATTCGTTTGTCCCATGGATCAAAACAAACTCATAATGAATAGTCATGGTATCTGTCTGTCATAATCACCTGATGTGTGGATATGCGTGGTCGCAATTGGTTATAAAGTACGAAATTATGCTCCCGAATCCAATAGGAAATACTGTTTCACGGCGTGACAAAGCCGCGCCAAAATGACGTCATGATTTACATATTCATTAATACGTTGTGGGAGGAGACGCTCCTTTTCTGGAAGACTCATTACCATACATTGCCCTCCATGGAAGGTCATTCTCTTGCTCAGCTGCTGAACCAATAACCGTGGCTGAATGCACCACCAGAGTCAACTACATGTAGTTTTCCTTCCAAGATTTTTTTTTTACTGCGCGAGATGTCTCGACGAAGATCTGTATTATCTGATTTGAATGGCAATGAGAGGGAGAGAAGTCACAGCGAGTGCTGAACTGAATCGGGAGATGCGAACGCTTAGGTTTAAAGTTGTCTGTTGATCGGGCGGTGAATTTTCAGTTTGTTTGCTTCGTTATTATTTTGTTGATTTGTAAAATAACCTGTTCGCCATAAATCATGTTTTTCGTTTTTTAGTTCCCAAAACTGTTGTGACAAAATTAGTGTAATGATTCTTTTTCCATCTTCAATGCGTAATACATAGTACCGGAATAAATGCTGGCGGGAACTACTGCTGGTATCTTACATTCAGTTCACTTTCTATATCATGTATAACAAATCTAACTTCATTGAATCCGTCAAATTATTTATTGAGAATGTGAAGATTAAGAAAAACAAGCAGCCTCTCGGCTGAGATAGCTCCGCTGTTAGCTAGTCAGAAGATATATTAGAAAATGAACAATATGCATAGTATCAATGCAATGGGACTTGCTGTTTTAAACAAGAATTCAAAAATATAATTTTTCACCATAAATGATTGTGGTTTTTAACAAGAAGAAAATATCACTTTTTACCAAAAATTACAAAAATGTTCACCAAAATTAGAAAGTTAAAGATATCATCATGAAATGAACAAATTTGAGAGTGGTCCACATGTAGTACCTATATATGTAATATCAAAGAAATTGGACTTGCGGTTTTTAAAAAAAAGTTGAAAATATCACTTTTTACCAAAAATGACAAAAATATTCACCAAAATTAGAGAATTGACGATGTCATTACACAATGAACAAATTTGAGAGTGGTCCACATGTAGTACCTATATATGTAATATCAAAGCAATTGGACTTGCGGTTTTTAAAAAAAAGTTGAAAATATCACTTTTTACCAAAAATGACAAAAATATTCACCAAAATTAGAGAATTGAAGGTATCATTACAAAATGAACAAATCTGAGAGAGATCCACATGTAGTACTTATATATGTAATATCAAAGCAATTGGACTTGGGGTTTTTAACAAGAAGTTGAAAATATCACTTTTTACCAAAAATGACAAAAATATTCACCAAAATTAGAGAATTAAAGATATCATTACAAAATGAACAAATCTGAGAGAGGTCCACATGTAGTACCCACATATGTAATATCAAAGCAATTGGACTTGGGGTTTTTAACAAGAAGTTGAAAATATCACTTTTTATCAAAAATGACAAAAATATTCACCAAAATTAGGGAATTGAAGATATGATCATGAAATGAACAAATCTGAGAGAGGTCTACCAAAGGTACATATACACCAAGTATCAAAGCATTCAGGCTTGTAGTTTTCAAGAAGAAGTCGAATAAGTAAAACATTGACACGGACGACGACGGACAATCAATCATATGATAAGCTCCGGTCGACTTTGTCGACAGCGGAGCTAATAAAACAGGTAAAACAAGGATGCTCACACACGCGCTTTTACAGCTGCTTGTCTCGTGCTTTATGTGTAGCCATGGTGTAGCCAAGTCCGAGCCCAAGCGTTTCACTTTCGACTCATTGTGGTCGGAGTCCATGACACGTAATTTGGTCACGAAAACTAAGTCTGCTATGTGCTCAAATTTTCTACCTTCTGTTTATACCTCCATGTCTGATCAATTAAATCGTGGAAGGTACCTTCCATGATTAAATTTTCATAATAATCGCTTTACATACTGTCGACGTTCTTCTCCAAATTTCCTTGCATTCGTTTTCTTTCGTCACTGTCATAGTCAACCCCAAGACGGTTTCATAGTCGACTGCTTGAAGAGCGAGAAATTCAACGAAATTAAATTTGTAGACGATCGTAAATGGAATGTGTGTAACTTGTACCTCGGACTACTAATACTTGTATTACTAGTCTGTGCTTGTACTGAATGCAAGAGACTGTTTATATTTGCTATGGGTGGTGACTATTATGCAAATTATCTGTCTATTATGTCTTTGGCTGATTAATTAAAACATAGCTTTCAAAACAATGACATGTGCTTTTGTTTTTAATTTACAAAATTTGATTTTTACACCCTATAAAAACATCCAATTCACTTTTTTAGTCCCCGTTCGGACGTAGTCCAAAAACGGGGACTTATGTTTTGCCCTGTGTGTGTCCGTGCGTGCGTCCGTCCGTGATCACCTGTATCTCGAACATGCATGGACCGATTAAGTTCAAACTTCACTCATACATCACACATTATATGGGACATATGCACATGCATTTTTTTCATGATCCCATTAACGATAGCCGAATAGCGGCCATTTTAAGGCCGAAAATGCATCAAAATCACACATTTTCACCATTCCGGACCCGGATCTCAGTTATGCATGGACGGATTTTGTTCAAATTTGGTACATACATTAAACATAATAGGACCTTGATGCACGTTATTTTTTTTTCCGGATCAAGTTCGAAATGGCCGACTGGTGGCCATTTTGTTTTAAAGAATTCAGTTCTGGATCCGTATCCGAGACATGTCTGGATTGATCAAGTTCAAACTTCACACACACAAGGTACATCATGTCACAAATAGATATGTGCATTTGTTTCATGATCCGCTTAACAATAGCTGAATGATGGCCATTTTAAGGCCGAAAATGCATCAAAATCACGTATTTTCACAATTCCGGAACTGGATCTCAGTCATGCATGGATGGATTTTGTTCAGATTTAGTACAATGTGTTGTACATATGCAGGTGCATTTCGGTCATGATCTGCTTTGAATGTATATGTCACTCAAATATGAACGGAACGGAACGGGGACGTGTCATTTAGTCCAGCATTGAAAAATACAAAAAAGTAGAATTTTGGGTTTCAAAGCAAAAAAAGGTGTACAGCATCCTTAACTACCAGGATAATACAAACCCCTTGATTTTTTTTTTTTTTTAAATCTGACCAGAACAAGTAATAACAGGTTTCTCATGATTTCTAGATTTCTGTTGGCAGTACCAATGTACGAGTAGGAAGTGCAATCTTTGGTGCAAGGCCTGATGCAACTAAACAGTCCAAGTCAAGAACCAAGAATGTTGTCAGTAAACCAGAAGCTAGTAATGACAATGCTGCTATGAATCATGTATCCCAGAATTTGGATAGCTTAACAGTGTCATAAGAGATGTGTATACCGGGTTACATGAAGACTCTATGAAGCTCCTATTTCAAGAGATTATTTTATACTGTTACAGTGATAATAATACTGTCTTGTTAAACATTTGAAAATCCAATATCATTCATTGATGTATTACTATTATATTTTTCATCATGTTTGTATATAAAATGGGAGTTCTTCATATTTTCCAGGCACTAAAGTGATATTGTGATTGGATAATGTAAATATTTAAATAATAATGCTACTGCAGCTTTTTCATATTTTGGTGCTATATTTTACTCTTTTCAGATACCGTGTCATGTGTCCATTGTACTTTTACTATTTTTTTTCTCCCTGGTATTTGCTTGAACTGTATTACCTAAGTAGTCTTTGTTTATTGTATAACATCAAGTATACCTGATGCAAAAATTGTACATACAACCAGTAAATGATTGCTGTGGGATCTATTCCCAGCTGGCAGCTAGGGGATTCTGACATATCACATTACCAAACTTGGAATGTACTTTTGAACAGCTAGGAACTCAAGGGATGTGCTGTATCTATTGTTTCTCTCATATATACCACTAATTCAATAAAACCATAAACTGGAGGATGATTACTGATTGCTCAGTAAGTTGCATTCCATAAAAACTAATTATGCTTATTGAGGGTATATATTTTGAAAATGGATATTGTTATTTTTTTCAACACATGTGGTGCATACTATACCTAGTTGTTTGTAAACAAGTTTATTATTTATCATTTTGCAAACTTAAAATGTGCATTGGTTCTTTTCAGTCATCTTCAACATATTCTGTTATTTATACTATCTCTGGCTAGCAGGTACCTGTATTTTTAGCTCTGCTAGAGCAGAGTTGTTTATATCGATGATTGTCTATCATCATCAATAATTGTATTTCCATCTTATTCTTGAAAACTACCAGCTCAATTGCTTTGATATTTGATATGTAGGTACCTTGAGTGGACCTCCGTCAGATTTGTTCATTTCGTAACGTTACCTTTAATTCTCTATTTTTTTTTGATGACATACCGTATATTGGATGTTGTCGTTAAAGTCAATGTGAAGTCCCAGAGCCCCCAATCACTGTTTTTATCTCCACTGTCGAGTGTTTGTTGTCCGCCGTTTTGTCTGAATGCTTTGGTATCATACATACAGGTACCTCAGGTGGACTGATCTCAGATTTGTTCATATTGTGATATCTTCAATTGAAATGTGCATTGCTGACAGCATAGCTATAGGCTGCTCAGTTGTTTACCAATATTATGAATTACATGTTATTCAGATTTGTTTATTTTATTATTTCTTGTACGTAAATCTGCCATGTGTTCATCTTTGTAAAAATCCACCAAACAGAATGTTGTGTGAATGTGGATGACAGTTTTGTATATTAAATGACCATCTATGGTCTAATTGTTTCATTCTCTGCCTCATGCCTATTGTACGTTTATTTTTGACAGTTACAAGGCAAGTACTTTTTGTTCTAACCAATGCTAGTTTACTAGAAAAGGACCATTTCATTGTTGATAACAGTCTGCGTTTACGAATAAGTGGACTAGGTTAGTTGTGACGAAATGAAACGCATAGTACACTGATAGATACTGGCAAGTACGAGGGGTGATCAATAAATTTCTGCCTTGCCAGGAAACTAGGGGAGGAACTTTACACTGTCTTGCATAGCAAGTCACTACCTATAGATCAAGATGAAACATTCCAAAAAATTGTGTAAGAAAAATTTTCCTTCTATAACGTTTTATGAGAAAGCAGTGACTAAATGATCAGCACTAGATTGTGATCGGCTGAGAAAGTGTTGCCCATAACAGGGACATAGTGTAACAGTTGTGTGTGCATGTACATCTAATAACAGCAGCATCCAATGCCACAATAACTTATATTAAATCTCACCGTACAGATTAAGTCTACTACACCCTCCACTGTTAACCCAATGCACCAGTAGATTCATCTTGGGCATCATGCCTATAAATGTTTCACAATGCATTTATAAGGATTCCATCTTCCATACTGAATTTCACTAAACTGGTTCAATTAAGGTTTTGAGTCCTTGATTTGTGCCCCCCCAATATTACTGCGCAAACCAAACCCTTTAGTGTCTCAAGGGCAGCAAAATTTCATTTTTGACTCCCATATGCGAAGCACACAAAGATTCTTTGCAGTTAGCGAGTTTGTTCCACTAATCTTAAGAACCAATTACCAGATTTTAATGAAACTTGGTACACAGATGCTCTGCTCATACTTTATTAATATGCAGATTTTAACCAAAAAATAATTACCTAATTTTAAGAATTTTCATTTGTTTCTCATTTACCATTTTACAGATTGCATTGGAATACTGCCAGACAGGATTTGGAATTGAAATCATTGCATGTCAATTAGCTAATTTTAGGTATTTTCACTCATTTCTATTGTACCATTCAATGACCTTATGTTTCTTTTGAAACCATGCATATTATTGAAACGTGGTACATAAACGTTCTGGGATAATAGGCAAACCTTATTAGTTTTTGATTAGAATAATGCAACCTCATTAATATTTCAATACGTTTTTGGACGAGATATACAACCAAAATATCAAACCATTATGCATGCTATTAATTCAGTAAATGTTTATAATTGTTGGAACCACGCTCATTGCTTGCAGTTATATTTTCATTTGCTCTAATAGAAGCACATGTGCTAACTTCACCCCCCCCCCCCCAATAACTTCAGCACACAGGAGTTCTTTCTAAGCTTTCTTTGATTTGCCGTTTTAATCTAGTCATTCATACAAAAATCAACCCATTGATCTAATACATTTTACTATCTTGTTTTTTTCACACAAAATTTATACAAAGTTGGGCAATACACAAATAGAGTCATTGTTATGACAATGTAAAAACGCTCATAGCAGACAAATACATTTCGAACTATGTATGTAATATTTTTTAGATATATTCAAGCATTAAATACACAAGTCGGAGCCGTACTAAATGAAACGCATTCATATTGCTTGTAAAAGACATTGCGATGGCATTATATTTGAATCAAATGCAAGTTTCATTCAAAATTTGTTTCTTGTGATAAACAATTTCAACTATATGTACGAAACATAAATAAATAGCAGATATTGTTTCCATGGTAATATCGTATGATGCAAAGTCTTGTTCCCTTTACTGCAGCTAAATACAAACCTTTAAGAACTTGGAAGAGGTCACATAACTTTAAGTCCGCAATTCAAGTGCAAGCATAATACCCTGGATTTTTATAATTAACACAACGTGCATGTAACACGTTCTGTTATAGTACAGAACTACAGAAATGTACTATATGGCAGGAGTAAAATACAGTTCATGTTGCGGAGAAAGTAGGGCTAGTCATGTAAACAATTTATAGGACTATTATTTATACACATTTTTTTGCAAAGTAATATTATTAATGTCTAATAACATGCCACACATGCTGAAATATCTCCAGTCATTCTATTCGCTCCTCAATTGATGGCTAACTATATCAGCGAACATAGTTTGAAATATGTTACAGCGCCCTCTGGTGACAAATGTTTTTACAGATGGGTAATTATTTGCTTTCTTCTTCCTTTTTCTTGTCACCTTCACTGCTTGCATTGCTACTCGCATCGGTGCTGCTACTGTCACTGCTACCAGATGATTGGTCCTTTTCTTGCGCCATCTGTTATTTCAGAGTCAAAGTGCAGAAAAACACAGTATTAGGAGAATTTTCCTTACCATACCTGCTTTACTATCATGATCAAAAGAATTCATTCAAATAATTCTGATTAATACAATGAATTCATTTGTTGGTGTATGTGCATTTCTATTGGATAGACCGACCGACCCAATTTTTCGACTTGAGGGCAACATAAGTTGTTTTTTTTGGCCTTACAACCACCAATCACTATTGGGTTATCAATCATTCATCAATGAAATGGTGCAGTAATCGCAGTATAACATAAGTATAAAACACAAATCAGAACTAGATAGAACTCACCTTTTTGTACGCCACTTCAAAGAGTTTTAATGATGCTTGTTGCAAATTATTGACGGCACTCGTGATATTTTCCGGTGCCTCCTCATCCTTTTTAGCAAGGATTTCTTTAACTTTGGTGATTTCTTCTTTCAGTTTAGCAGCCTGGGGTGGTGAAGACAAACAATGAAATCAAAGTTGGTTAATTAGTTTAGACACTTATCAACTTTATACGACAAGAAAGCATGTTTTAACCCTTTGTATCATAAGTTTTGCACATTTTTTGTAACTGTTAATTTCTGATCAAAAAAAAAACATTTTTCTCATTGTCTATAGGTAATGATCAAAAACACATCTGTAAGGATGCCTGAGGTCCCAAATAAAGATTGTGAGGCTGAATGTAAACGTACTACATATGCAAATGGCCATAGCTGAACAGTGCCTGTATGAAAGCATTTGAGACTAATGCGATTCTTGTCACAATGACTGACTGACTGACCTCTTCTGATGGTAGTTGATCTTTGTATTCCTCCATTTTTGTTTCTGTGTCGTGAATAATCATTTCAGCTTTATTAACAGCTTCCACTTGTTCCTGAATAACATAACATTCATAAAAATCAAAATGGGCATAGCATTGTAATTCAAATCAAAGTAAGTTTGACAGATGGGATATGCTTGTTTCTTTCAAGACGTATGCATTCTGCTAAAATGTGCATCACATTCATAATGACTTAAGTGTCAAGACATGCTATTAATCACAGACTATGGGCTGGACTATTCACCAAAGCTAGCTTAAATACAAAGCAGAGTAAACAATGAGAAAAATACAAATGAATGCCAAGAACACTGGGGAAGTTTGATAAAGCTGTTTCAAAGAGGCTGAGAAGAACACATCAACACAGATGCTTAAAGTAACATCGATGAATTCTTAAAATTAAAGTGTTGAGAAGAGACATTTATGTCATGTTTTTGTAATGGATGCCAACCGATTCATATTTCATGTTATGTTACCTTCTTCTTCTTGTCTTCCTCGGCATACTGTTCAGCTCTCTTGACCATGTTTTCAATCTCATCTTTACTAAGACCACCAGAAGACTGAATAACAACTGAGGATAGAAATCAAAATTATAGTCAACTGGTTGCACAGTTTTATGTATTTCTCTAGAATTTATTAATTTAGGAATAAATGAATACATTTCTGAATGCCTACAGGTCTTCATCAAAATTTGTGCAAAATAATTAAATTCACCAAAGTAAATAATTTGACATTTCACACAATAAAGCTACAATTACCTTACACCCAAGTGACAGTAAGATATCATTTGAAACTCTAGGGAAGTCTGATTCAGAGACAAGATGCCGTAGAGTTTTAATCAACATCTTATTATCAATTGGATGTAAGGAGAGTATGGGTGAACCTAACAAAATAGAACAGGGAACATCAGGGTGGAAAGATTACTTGTGTGTGAACTGGTCAAGACAGGGCAGATCAGGTGATGTCCATGTTTATGTAAATAACTAGTGTTGCAATTAGCAGAACATGCGAGACAAGACAAAGGGTGGTTGCTTACTTTGTTGTTCCTTTCCAGTTCCCTTATCTCTAGCGGAAACGTTGACAATACCATTAGCATCGATGTCAAACGTCACTTCAATTTGAGGGACACCGCGGGGTGCAGGTGGAATGCCGATCTATGGAAGAAAGGAAACTAATTTATTGTCTTATGGGAGATTAATGTATGCAAAGCTGAATGATATCACCATGGAAACAGACAGAGTGTTACTGTTCATTAACAATACACAACAGATTTTTTTTTTTTTGGAGAGTGCAGTCAACAATTCCTTGAAATTCTGATAGCACATTAAAATACAAGGCATATTATGCGTGAAAATCCCCATCCTCAAAGTAAATATACAGACCCTTAAATAATGAACCACAATTACTGTAACAAGGTGTCCAGCTTGGTGAGAGTTCATACACTAATCAGTAACAAGATATACTGTGGAATACTTTATTTTCGCTGGAATAAATTTTTGCTGAAAAGGCTTTTTGGGCATTTTGCTTGGAATTTATTTTCACTGATTTTTGATGAGTTTAATGTGAAATATAGGAAAAAAAGTATATTCGCTGGATTTTATTTTCACGGAATCATCCCTTCAGCAAAACTAGCGAAAATAAAGTGTTCTACAGTAGTCTTACAATGATGAGTGGGTTTGTACAATTCATTCAGACTTACAAGCTGAAACTGTCCTAAGAGTTTGTTATCTGTCGCCATTTCTCGTTCACCTTGATGCACTTTAATTTCTACTTGTGTCTGTCCATCTGCAGCCGTTGAGAACACCTGGCAGGAGTAGATGGGAATAAGAAAACCATCATTAGGATTGTGAAAGCAGAGTTTTACCATCGAATTTTAATTTTAATTGCATTTATCTATATCTACAAAAAACTAGAATTTTTTACTTGTGACCTTGACCTTGGGTGAATGTCGCACATCATGCAAAAACTTGGTGCCAATAGCGCACATGCTACAAGCTTCATTCAATGCCTCTTTGCATGGAAATGTGTAGCATTTCTTATTTAGACAATAAAGCTACCTGGTTGGGTAATCTGATATGAGCATCTTATTTAACGATTCAACAACTTTAACTCTTCATCTTTAAAATTAAATGCCCCCCCCCCCACAACCCTCACTTGAACAGGCATAGAACTATCTTATCTGAAAAGTAACATTCCTGTTACCTTGGTATTGCAGATTTTATGAAAGCTACTATTCACTATAAGCAATCAATCATTCAGCATTCTCCTTGGTTGATCACCTCATAAACCTGCGACAATGCCCAATCATATAGATGATGTAGCAATTATTTGTAAGCAAAGAAATCCTGTATTCAGCAGTATACCTACTCACCTGGCTCTTTTTCGTTGGTATCGTCGTATTTCTGTTGATTAGTTTTGTAAAAACACCGCCTAATGTTTCAATACCTAATGACAATGGTGTAACATCCAAAAGGAGAACATCAGTGACATCACCAGCAAGTACACCACCTTGAATTGCTGCGCCCATAGCAACAGCCTCATCTGGGTTGACTGATTTACTTGGCACCTTGCCAAAAACTTCAGTAACGGTTTGTTGAACCTGACAATAGAGATTTGGGTTACTAATGGTAAGAAACAGAACAGGGTATATAACATAACAAATTTGCAATGATTTAATATTTCACAGATGAGAATGAGTTTAAAAGTTGTTCTCAAAGAAAATAAAAAACACCAGATTCTTGCAAAAATTATGACCAGAATCTAAATTAACCAAACATTGTTCCTGAATTTCCTGTTACAAAATAGTGGATGTGGTTGTAAGCCATTTATGTTTGGATTCTAAATGTTTTACTAAAACACATTCCTTCCTCCTCAGTTAAGATTTACAGTATCTCTAAACACCTTCAACAGCGTATATCAGAACGTATTGCTTAGCATTAATTATTTATTTAATTAATAACATTCATTTACTTTCTATTTTCAAGTTTTCTCTCTAATTGCAATATCTGATTAGAATCTCGATGATATTCTTACCGGAAATTACAGCCTCTGTCCCTTGCAAATATTCCCTCAAAAATTTGGTTGACATTTTTGATGCACTTCCCTTGAATATTTTTAATCAACAATTATATACACTTATTGTTAGAATCTGGTCAGATTCTAGTGAGGGATTTTCCTAGGGATATGTTAACATACTTTGGGCATTCTTGTCATTCCACCGACTAATATAACATCTTTGATATCGCTCTTTGAGACTTCTGCATCCTGAATCGCTTTCTGACAGGGCTGTATTGTCCTTTTTATTAATGCGTCTGATAATGATTCAAACTTCGCTCTTGTCAATTTCAAGTTCATGTGTTTTGGTCCCGTAGCATCCATGGTGAGATATGGGAGGTTGATATCAGTCTAGAAAGAGAACACAAAGAATATTTACAAGAGATATTTTCAACAGCAAAAATGATTAACTTTTGTGAAGGACAGGAATAAATAAATTCTGCTTTAAAAGTGTGTGCCTGGTAAGTTTTGTTTCTTATAGTAAAAACACTTGTTCATTGGAGTCTGCAATTTATTTACTGTGGCAGTGATTTTGTTTTGTACAGAAAACAATATTGCTGGTCGAGTGCACAAAACAAAATCATGGCAACAGTAATTAAAACACTTTCACGATAGAAAAACAAGCCTTTTTTTCATTGGTTGAAATTCAATATTAGTTTTGAATGAAACCAAACAAGGTACTTTTGGCTTTTAGACGTTAATCATAAATTTTAGTCAGGAGTTTTTTTATGGAAACTGTCAGAATAGGCCGTTTCTAAAATGGGATAATAAATGACAATGGTAATGAAACGATAGCAGCTAGCATGCCACAGACTTAGTACAAGTTTATACGATTTATACACAAATGCTTAAAATACAATATATATATTATTCAATATTAATGTCATTAATATACCGTATTACCCCGGGCACACGCCCCTCCCTGGGCAAGCGCCCACCCCCCTGTTTTCACAAAAGTTACATGTTGGGGACATCCTCGGTTAAACGCCCAGGGTGATTTTTAGCCAAGAATTAGGTCAACAATAAAGTTGTATTTGTCAAAAACAAACGCGTTTGATTTATTTAAATAGTGTGTTTGTTACGGTAGTTCTCTTTTTGGAGTGTGTGGTGGCCCTGAAAAGGGCCGTTTTGTTTGTGTTTTTACGTAAAAACTCATTGGAAGAGCATCGCCAGGCGATGGACGCGGGGCTCTTTGGCAACGACCAAAAACGTATCCGTGTCCAGCCATTGGTTGGCCACGTAGAGGTCAAAATACGCGTTCTATTTTTACGCGTTAAGTTTGGCTCTTCCGTTTCACCCCCTCCGGAATGTTCTACTTTCGCAGCCTAATCGCAGATTTTTCGGAAAACGTCGAAAAAACACAAGAATTAGTGGAAATGTTTCTATTTGGGGCGGATTATTGATAGAGGATAATGTCTTTATTACAAAAATGCTGAAAAACCGTGAGTTTTCGCCTTAGTTATTTTTTTATCGGCGAAAAACTGCGAACTCGGCAAATTTGGTTGCACAACTTCCCTCTATCATATACACCCAGCGACACCGATGCCAGCTGACTGTGAACGGGAGCTAGCACTTATGAGACATTGCTACTTCTTTCCATCCCTCATCACAGCTATGGCATTACGGTCATGTGGATTATTTTTCTGTCGTTGAAGAAAAACATTTTGCCGACCTCAAGTCCATTACGATAACCATAATGAGGCATGCCGACGATGTGAACTTGTTGTCTTGTGTGTGGGTGCGTGAATAAATCATGTTAATGAGGTCGACCAGAGTTTATTTTCAGTCTGTTTTTTATGTATCGCCATTTGGATATGTTTATGTATTCACAATAGTTTGTAAACATTTCACATCAGTAATAAAAGTTATTTTTGTTTCATAACCCTGTCTGCTATTCTTCAGTAATTACGATGCGATGTATCAATACGTGCGTGAACAAAATTATGCTAATGAGGTCATCCCCTTCTTGGATTACAAGCGGTAGTTTTTCCCGGCCGTTTCGACTTGCACTGATCACGGTTACTAAAAATGTAACCGTGCATTGATTACAATATTTACCATAGTTTGTAGTCAATTTCAGTGAGTAATGCAACTTCATTCGCTGACATAAAACAAGTTTTATTCTTGAAATTCGACCATGTGTCCTAGTGTTCCCACAGATCTTGACAGAGTGCTCACGTTTATTGAAACCTTGCATAAATCAAGAAATAAGTACGTGTACAAAGTGTACAAAAGCATTCCTTTATTTGACCTTATCATACGATCACAAAAACAACTTTTTAAAATCTTTTTTGGGGTGGTCCTCGGGTAAGCGCCCACCCCCAATTTTTGTCGATTTTGTACGTTCAGGCCCCTGGGCGCGTGCCCGGGGTAATACGGTAGTACAATAGGACAGTAGGCTATAACTTACCTGCATGGCTGACGATAATTCTATTTTAGCTTTTTCTGCTGCTTCTCGGAGACGTTGAACAGCCATGTTATCTTTCGTCACATCAATACCTTGCTGTAATAGCGAAAACAAGAACAAATTTAAACACAAATGCTGATATGTTATTTGACACAAATATATATATATATGCATTATTATAAAGATAAACAATGACTTCACAGACATATTTATTGTAATATACAAACCAAGGCCTAGGTTTGAATTCATCTGTGTTGTAATACCAAACAAAGTTCACAAACACTAAAATGTTGTTTCTAGAAATGTTCCTAATTTAAAAAACATTGACAACATTTACAACTGTCCTAGTGACTTGCCGCCTAATTCAAGCAGTTCACTGATATCCAATTTAAGTTTGTCACAGACTTGTTAAAGTTGCCAATTGTGCAACAGTGGGGTTTATAGCGCCCTATGAAAATACCAAAAATGAAAAGATACACAAATGTACGAGCTAATAAATATAAAACAATGATTTCAACTTACATCTCTTTTGAATTCTTGCGCCAGAAAGCTGACCAACATGTTGTCAAAATCCTCACCACCGAGGAATGTATCGCCATTTGTGGATTTCACCTCAAACACACCTTTCTGAATTTCCAGTACGGAAATATCAAACGTACCGCCTCCCAAATCATATACAGCGATGCTACAAGGAAAGTCAATATAATATGGTGTTCAAGACAGTGATGGGGGGTTTGTCATATGGCTAAATAGGTAAAGTTTACACGCTATTACTACTGCAATGATGTCGCTAAATACATGAAGAAAAAAAAAAATTACTTGGGCACTAATCAACTACATCAGGTTCAAAATTCATATATCGGCCATCATCAGACAAGATGTATGCTCTTCAGTGAAAATCAGTTTCTGGTAAAGCAATGTGTATAATCATCTGATGGCGCTGTTAAAGTGGTTACCATGGTTACTTTAGTTACCCAGAATGCTTTGCAGGGTTTTAGGTTTTCTAAGAAAATTTCTTGTGAAATCTGAAATAATCATCAAGCATAGGCTTGGAGGAAACATGTGGAACCAGAATTTATAAAGTAGTGCAATGAAAACTTACATTCTGTCGTCTGTTTTGTCCATTCCGTATGCTAATGCTGCGGCTGTAGGTTCGTTGATTACCCTCAAAACGTTTAGTCCTGCAATCTGACCGGCATCTTTGGTTGCCTGAAAGAGAAACATTTTACATATTATGATTATGAGGTGTCTTTTTTACATTAGAAAAACGGAAACTACCAAGTTGATGTTATTATGAAGTTTGTATAAAAACAGGCATCTCAGTGATCAAACTAAAAATTTCAATCAGTACTAATAATGATATTTGTTACCTTGCAGGTTTTATTTGTCTGTTACCAGTGTAGTTAACATTATCAGTGGGCTAAATAGCATGGTGGTGATGATTATGGCTAACATACTGTTGTGACAATAATTTCCTAAACCTTCCTATTATTCTTATGAGATGCTTTGAATTCTGATAAAACAACTTTGGATACCCAAAATAGTTTTGAATTCTGAATGTCAATTTTATGAAATTTTCCAATATGGCTGACAAAGTAGGATTTAAAGCCACAAGCCATAAACGATTGTTTATGGAACTTGAAACAACCTCAGGTACCATCATTTTTTTTTACTTTTCATATTTGATATAATCTTTCAAAATCTGTAGTACTTATATGTTAGCCAAATCATACAGATCAAATTCACAGTCGTGTATCACCAGTGTATCACACACTACCAGCATACAGCACAACGTGTGAATGAAAGCACATACCTGTCTTTGTGAATCATTGAAATATGCTGGTACTGTAATAACTGCATTTTTCACTGGCTGCCCAATATAATTCTCGGCAGTTTCTTTCATTTTTATTAAAACAAAGGCACCAATCTGACTTGGTGAGTACATTTTACCATGCGCCTGTACCCATGCATCGCCATTGGAAGCTTTCACTATATCAAATGATGCTGTTTTTCTGTAATATAAACATTATCACACTAATTCAGTTCAGGTCAGGTAATAAAGCAATAAGTTTCTTTATACAAGAGATTCATTGTATGTAACACATAACCTTTCTAATGCAGCGACACAGCCATACAGATTGATTGTATCCCATCACAATTTCATGCACAAATAAAAATGGCAGCCAGTCGGCCATAATTTTAAAAGGTGTATTGCATACATGTCTTGTCACATATATTAAGGATTAATACAGTTTCATGAAAGTTCTCATGTTCTTGAAATTACTTATCCCTTATCAGCCGTCAAGTCACCTGACTACCAGTCACCTTACCTAACCTTCCCCCAACAAGCCATAGGCAGAGAAACACATAAACTAGTCAGTTTGACTGCATATGAACAGTGGCTAAAAACCACTAGCCCCCATTAGGGAAATTAATTCCTAGATACAAGATGAAAGAAGAAGAAAAAAATGTTTAAAATTTTGGAACTTACATGTCTTTTTGTACTTCGGCGTCAGTAAACCGCCGGCCAATCAGTCTCTTTGTTGCTGAAAATGTTCCTTTTGGATTTGTGACAGCTTGACGTTTTGCAGGCATACCGACAATACGTTCACTCTCTGCTGAGAAAGCCACCACCGAGGGCGTTGTGCGAGCACCTTCAGCATTTTCTAAAACTTTTGGCATTTTCCCGTCCATGACGGCAACACATGAATTTGTAGTACCCAGGTCGATACCCGCAACAGCTCCCTTCACTGTATCTGAACTGTAGTGTCTTAGAGGTTGACATTCTGTACACACCCATGGTTCCTAAAAAAATTTAAACACAAGATTTTGATGCATATAAATAATCAATCCTATCTATTTAAAAATACAAGTATGAGCTCCTCTAACTCTAAAATCAACAAATATCACTGTGTGGAAGGTAAGGGGTATCAACAATGAGATATTTACTTATATAAGTAGTGTTCATGCTACACAAAGTACAAGCTAAGATTTAAGCTACCGGTAATCTTGTATGTTTGCATATCGGATAGACCCAATTGAGTTCACGCACAGTAAGAAACAGTGGTTAACACGGACTAAGGAATGCCCAAACTTTTTAAGGAAATACAAAAATGTAATGCTCAGTGGGGGAAATGTATAAGCTAAAGCTCAAGATATTTTGAATATGTTTAACAACTCCTCATGTAAAACAGGAAAGTTGGCAACCAGACTTTAGTATTCAAATTACACTCCATGGTGATATATCTGGTTTGAGTACTCTACGTAATCTTTATTTCCAATAATCAGGATGTATGGATTACTTTATTTTTCTTTTGCATACAAGCATGACTACTTGTAGAATATGATTTTGACATTGGACGTGATTTGAGCATAGTTCTAAAAGATTACAAAGCACAATTAAAACAGTCATGGAAGTGTCTCAATCACAGGTTTCTTGAAATTTAGTCTTAATCCAAATTGTTATTATCAACTGTGGTGTTCACGTTATGGATCTCCGCATATGCTGAGCCTGGACTAAGTCGGCACAAGACAAAATATTTCCATTAACATCACAATGTAATTTTTACTAACATATCTTGAAGTATTTAATAAATTTAAAAGCATAAATTAGTTTACTTTATTTAATGACAGAGCATAACACAGCAAATGATGGGCAATCTTGTGGAGCTGCACTTCAGAGGGTACATCCAAGCCATCATCATTAAAGACCCATATATGGTCATCAGTAAAATTCAGATTCTGGTAAAGCAAGGTTTTTAATCATCTGATGGCAGGGATTGCAACAGGGAATTATGGGAAACCATTTTTTCGGCATTTACACAATTAATCTGTTACTTGTTTCCCTTAGAAATTTTAACCCTGCAAGAAAACTTGCTATGAGAATTAGCTTGAGTTGTCCCTTTACTCAGATTACTCATAATCTTGTTCACATACTTGCTGTGAATAGTGAAAATGCTTCAAATGGGTATTACTACACTGTTTACATACCCCCCCCCCCCCATTTCTAAAAAAAATAAAATAAAATTTGAACGTGATTCAATTTTGGGAAGTATCTAATAAGCAAAAATTGACAAGATTCATGTGGTTAACAAAGAAATGTAATAGAACTCTCATCTTGCATCATCATCAATGGTTTTCAGTCATCCAATCACAACAGAGAACTGATTTTAATACTTGAATATTAAGTAAATATGCCTAAGAATGTAATACTTACAACAGAAAAATATAGCTTAATAATAATATACAAATATAATGGAAATGCATTCGGGCTACCCTAAATATACAAGGCCTTGGAGCCAATATCAGTGGTCCGCAACGAGTCTCACAGTGGTCCTACATCTAGTACATACGCAGGTAGTTTCGCACTATTTTCTAGTACATTCGATACCGGTCTCTCACTTACTAGTACACAGAACACAGATCAGTTACAAGACATCCCGTCGAATAATCTCATTTGAAGATGAGCCATTAATCACACATGTCTTAGTATATTATCTACAGTATTATTAATTATCGCTATGTACGTTTCCACCTCGCACATGGGATGTTCGGTGTCGACGATCACACGCACGCCGGCCATTTTAACCTTCAACTCCACTAACGCACGCACGTACATACCTTATTAATGAGGCTAGAGAAGCTTCTGTGTTGAAATGAATGTCTGAATAAGCTACCACTCTGTTGGAGATGTCTCCCCGATATCCTTGCAACGTTCCACATGTTATAAAGTTCAAGACGCGCACAATTTTTTAGCCTCTGAATAGCAGAGCGATGTACTACCACGTGGGTCAAATCTCGATGATGAATAGTTGACCTCTGCGCATGCGCTGCGACATTTAATGGTCTCTAAATGTTGTCACCGAGTGGTGGCGCTATGACCAACTACCCTCACGTCACTGGGTGAATTTGCCTCGTAGATATGATGTACCAGGCCCAGTGTGGTGGCATTCATTCATGGTATGCTTGTTCCTGATTTTTAATAACATGTCTTTCCCCGGACTTCGCACATCGAGAACTGGTAATGCAGATTTCACAGCCTGGGCTTATGTGACATTCGGGATTAACGCTTATAATTTACTATTCTTTCAATAACTATGAAAAAACAATGTTTTTTTCTCCCCGAAAAATACTCCTTATTTATGATTTCACGGACCATGGTATAACACAAAACGCAGATACTTACCCCGGGGATCACTGTATATTAAAACCTTACACCATGTGCTAAAAAAAATAATAGGCCCCTAGGACTGGCAGCACACTGGCAAACCATACCCCATATTGCGGACGCAATATAAATGTAGTACCCCCTAGAGCAGACATATTGATCAAATCAAACAAGCTACTTAGGTTGCTGTGTACATTCGTTGTTTTCTGGGTCCGCCAATGCAAGAGGCCCCTACAGCGGGTACAGCAACCCTGTGAGTTTATTCCTGGAGGCCTATTGCAGACATTAGCATTTTAAAGGGTGCTTATTTGCCTCCCGCGCGCGCCCGCTTTAGAAGGTGAAAACACCCTCCTTTCCCGCTAAATCTGGAACGCACATGGGGTAGTAACGGCATATAGAGTGACCCCCGGGATAGTTACGTACTTTGGGAGTGCCACCACAGGGTGTTCAAACAAGATTATTGTCCACACCTCAAATAACAATGGGCGATAATAGATATAATACGGTTACTTCAAATATAGCTTGATATTCAACATTCAGTAATTATCGTAGATACGATAATTGTAAATCCGAACATTTAATTATGTATTGAACTGTCATAACAAACAATATATTGCAGCATCAGCTCGATTGGCAGCATCACCAGATCTTTCTACTGTAGACTAGGAATTCTCCAAACACCGAATAAAGAACCATATGTTTCGTAAAAAAACATTAAAAAAAGGAATTTATTAGTTCACAAATATAACATACACGTATAACGTAATTACATTCCACATGGTTGTTGGTGCGGGTATTTCTCACATAAACGTTCCACAGTACAGGAGGGAATTGACCATCAAAGTATGTGAGTTGAATGTAATAGCAATCTGGGCGTCAGAATAACCTCTGCCTTGATCTGGATGCAATGAATCGTTGAAAATTCTGAATAATGGCAAGGGAAAGGTACCCAAGCAATTGCTGTAACTTGCATTGAGTTCAGTACAGCTTGGATGAAATGGAAACTTCTTTGTGCAATGATCCGACAAACTTGGTTCTCGACAGGCTCCCAGGTTTCAATCGTCATTTTTTTTTTAATATAATTATATGGTCTCCACACCGAGTACCCAACTCCGACGGCAGTGTTGTAACATAGCATTGAACTATACCTTGTAATTATTGATAAAAAGGAAACCTCTCGTTTGAACATACTTAAACCAGGTTATTGAATATACTATGAAAAAAATAAATTAATATAAGATCTGAAAACATCCGAAATTTATAGCAGTGTATTTTGGCCAATAGTCATGGAAATTTCCTGGATATATTTATTTATTTATTTATTTATTTATTTATTTATTTATTTATTTATTTATTTATTTATTTATTTATTTATTTATTTATTTATTTATTTATTTATTTATTTATTTATTTATTTGTTTATTAACACTTTCTCACTCCCCGGAGAGAGTGGCAATGGTTACAGATAATAGTAGATAATATAAGCATTATCGTCAAACATCACACACAACTTACAGAAAATATACACCCCGAAAATATTTTGTTGTGATCGTTACCAATGTATTTGCTCATGAACATTGTTACTTATTCAAAACTATATACAATGGGAATTTCGGCAAAAGTGAGGGTGATCGAGCCACCTGAAACAACATCTTCGCCAGCCAAGGACCCGGGCCAAGAACCATTCATTCGGCCGAAGCCTCAACATTAACCCTTAGCAGATTTACTGTATGTCGCACGCCCTCAAACGATTATAAGATTCACTTGGGTTCATTTGATTTACCCAATCAGAACTCACGATAGAAACGACATATGACTTGGTAAAATCGTGGGACTAGCTCTGGTTGAATATAGAAATCAACGTGTTGCTAGCCTCTTCGCTGTGAACTAGCTTACTGACCTTCAAAAGAAAACACTGTTTCTAAGGGAAATGATGTGTTGCAACGAAGAACGGATCGGACAAGTCGATATTTTATCTGTTTCGACAGTTTTGTCAGTTTTCTAAAACACGGTTTGCACAAATATTTAAACATTCCATAGACTTCATTCAATTGGAAACGTATCAACGAACATAAACCTTCTGTTCTTGACTCCTGGTGAGATAACGCCTCGCTGCCTTTTTCTCTTCTTCTCTTTTCTTACAAAGTCTTACAAACTCTATCATAAACTCTAAGTCGTGGTGGAGTAAACATGTGACCAGCCAATCGCTGCAGTCTTTGGCACGATCACGTAATTACCAGGGATGTGTCTCACCTTGAAAATTGAGAATATGGAAGCAAATTTCCAAATTTCATTTTCGGGTTGAACAAATTGCATTTAATATAATATCACAATTCGCCGTCATTCGATTCGTAACATAACTATATGGTCTCTACAACACGTTATTCTGATTCCCAAAACATTTGAAACACTTTCCAGACAATTCTCTTTTGAAAACCGACGCGTCGAACAGTATTGTGTTAGTATTGGGTCAGGTTTAATTTTTCGCCTCTTGATTTTATATCCAAGCGCCTTTCCTTCGGCTGGAGTCGGAAAACCTGGAACAGTCGACTGTTTCAGGATAGGTGGACGTGGCTACAACACGAGAACTATCTCAAATTTACTCCGACACGAGTAATCATTTTCAACCAAAAAGTCAAAACTGTCTATTTCATTGGACCACAAATCCAAAATGGGAAATGTATGGGTGGGTATTTCACAGGCACTTTAATATAAATATGTAATGCCATCTCCTCCACCCATTCGTCAATCGTTAACTTCGATTTATGTTAAAGTTTGAACTCCTAGTATGTTTCAGGTTTGAGCGATCTTTTCTCAGCAACAATAATGACAGAATAATGGTAATGATACGCCCACTGTTTAAGTATAACATAAACCCAACAGATTAAAAAGAACATGAGGTGCAAGGTACCGTTCTCAAAAGAGTTTGATGCCAAAACGTCCATTCCCATTCCAATATACAACACACGTAACACAATGTTCCATTATACGCCCCGTTTTATTCTGAACCAAAACAAGTACAGTACAGTAAGGTGGACAGATTTTGCTGATAATATTTCGAGAACCAACCCCCATTAGAATATGCAGTAATTATGTCTAGCCAAAATAAGTTAAAACAAAATTCGAAAACATAATGTATCATGATATAATCCATAAAGCACCGTAGCAGCATAATCACACAATCGCGTATCATCAATGGCACCTTTAGGGACAGCTGAAATGTAAGGCAAACATGTAAGTTGTAGAGTACACACACTGTCAAATATATTGATTTTGTAATAGTGGATGAAATTTTTTTATTTTGTGGTTACTACTGAACAAATGACAAATAATTATATAATGATAATTACATATACCTGCAAACGTAAATAGAGTGTAGATCCATAAATAAACACGTGGATACATTTTTATAAAGTTTACTAACAACTAACTAAACATGCTTAATTATAGATAAACATATACCTAAGATTGATATGTGTATTAATTAATATATTCACCTGTCGGGAATTACCCAACTATTTCCAAACTCCTCGGAGTGAAACGTTCGTCGTCCATCCGGAAGAGTGAAGTCATTGTGTGGATTACCATCATCATTTCCAAGCAATCCACACACTTTACCACGCAGGTTGATGTCATTAAATCCAATGTTTAAACCATGAATCCGTCTCTCCCATGTCAAAGATAAAGCAGGTTCCTTCAAATGTATTTGGATTCTATTTTGTTCTACATCGACGTAGCCTTCATCATTGCCAATCTCTGCCGATGGTGGCGTCATGGGCTGTCCTTTGATCTGTATAAATTAAACAACGTATGGATGTCTGGGAATGCATGGACTTATGCAGTGTGTTTCGGTTTCCATAAAATCACATCCCCGTAAATATATTGAAAGGTCAAACGATTTCCCAAAATACAATATTGCGAGCTAAGATTGTCTGTAATAACGGACAAGAGGTATTGTAAATGAAATAAGCACACTCTAATAATACAGTTCAGTATTCTGCAAAATGTGAAACGAATGTTCTTTAACAACAACATAAAATAAGCATATAGGGACTGCCGCCGAACCATGTATTTGTATATATGAAATATATGTATACATGATTTTAGTGTATAATTATAATTTAACTAACCAACACTGTATCGTCTTCATTTATTCGAATCAGTTGTCTTCCATTTGAGATCACATTGAACGCAACCATGAATGTCACTGGTTTGTATGGGTAGCTACGGTTTCTTGCACGGAAATCAGCAGTGACTTCAAACGATGGGTGGATACCACTATCACAGCTCTTAGTCAATGTATATGAACAGTTTCCATTGAAGTTATACTTGAGTCCATCAAATGTGGTTACGTGTGGGTCTTTTTCGACTGAACCACCTGTATAAATGTAACAAGTACCATTATTTGTTTCTTTCAACTGTCATTTAAATGTCTCGCCAACTGTTATCTTATTTGAACACAATAAATAACACACAAACATAAAATATTTTCACTTTTGTTATAGAAATTCATGCAACTAATAACAAAATTTCCACACTCTAAATATGTATTAACTAGCCACAAACATAGAACATTTACTAATGTAATATTAAGTACGTGGAAAGCAATACTAGTCTCTTCAGCTAACATGCTTACTTACAGTCAACTGGTTGACTGCTGCTACTAACGCCAGTGCTACTAGTATACTGGAAGGTATACTGAGTGTTATTATCTGGTTTGAAATCGGAAGCTACTTCAACTTCTGTTTCACCATCCGCTATGTTAACAGGTCCTTCCCACACGATTTCCCCTGTCGTATCTGATGTGATAGTTAGCCCGATCTCGGTGGATCTGTAAAACGAAGACCGTTTTTTGCCCCATTCGATGTCTATTGTACAAATACCGAATATGTGAATCCTGATCTTGCCACCTCCTGCATTACAAATAAAGATGTGACAATCAACAATATAACCATGATGAAGTTAGCTTTAGCACAATGTTGAAACAGTGTAATATGAGTTAATTTGCTCCTGAAATAAAGAATTCAGTCACCATACACGATAAGTCGGTATGCACTTACCGTCCCGCAAATATATCACATGCAATATCATCAATGGGGCCTATATAATGTGGGGGGGGGGGCATACAGGGCTGGCCTGATTCAATTGAGCTGAAACTATATCTGGGAAAGAGGAGAGATCACAAACAAATTAAAATTTACATATCAGTATACTGACTATACCATGAGTTGAATTTGTTTTATTCTACCAGACAAACGTCATTTTAATATTGCAATACATACACAGCGTTACTTGTATCAGTTGTGCATTTATTTATATAGCGTTTTTGTGGATTTAAGCTTATTATACGTAAACAATGTGGTAAGCTTTCATTATTATTAAATAATATTTTAAAATCAATTATATAGAAATCATCAGGTAACATGATGTTGATTTTGTTTATGAATAAACCGATTTGTAATATTATATATAGTTATATACTATCTTTATGTACCGGTACTTTTATTATTTATAAATGATTTCACTTTCATTAATGAAATGTTATTTATTAATTAAATTCATGAAAACAATCGTTGTTGCAACATTTATTTACAAACTATGGATCAACATATACTATACTTTGTAAATCATTAATGAAGAAATAGTATATTTCGGAATTGTTCATGGCCTTTGTAAACAAAAAAACAAAATTGATATTTTTTTTACATGTCCGATATAATATGATAACTAAATAATTTAGGTGCAACTAAAATCATTATATAGCAAAACGGGAAATCTAGAGTTTTGGATTAATAAATAAGTGGTTTTGGTACGCTGGTATTGTTAGCACTCAGATATAAAAATTGAATGTAACGATTTCGTAGTTGTGAATGGTACAAAGTAAAGCTCAAATAATGGCTCTCTGATATATTTAGAGGTTTTATCAATATTTCAATATATCATTTTAAAATTCTCTGTACATTGCTGAAGCCCTTGAGTAGTACTGGGATTGCGTGGCCTACAGTGAGACGATTCTGGCTGACTGCGAGCAGGATATAGAAATGAATCATGCTGGAGTAGTTATTGTATGAATTGTATGAGTACACTCACGTTTTGCGAGTTCGTGAATTTCATCTCCAGAAGTTGCCTCTATATCGTTGACTGTCACTGGAGAAGCCTGTCAGTTCAAACAAATAAGTTAAATAAAAAGGAGAGTTGATCATATTTGGACATTCGCTTGCGTCTATCAATTAACTCATGGTCATTTCCAACGACAAAATAAGAGATAATAGCAAAGGTAATTCTGCGCCAAAAGAGTGAAACTAACCTTTATTTCAGTAGACGTGGTAGAAATGACAGCTATTAACGCAAAGGAAAGAAGAATCAAGCGATGCATGATTTCAGGTACGGAAGAACTTCAGGTAAACTCGGCAATATCAGTTACAGTTGTCAGTGATCTAAATGAGTCTCTGTTATATACCCTTCACACGCATAAATTAAAAGTCTAACATTGACGTCACAATAACGAATCATCAGTTTGCGGCGGTAATCCAATATAATCCGTTAAAGAAACTGCTTATTTTGCAAATCTAGCAGGAATGAGCTCAGCTAAATCTGGTCATGTGATATAGCTGTTCGCGATTCTTTGCGTGTTGGATGAAATTTAACGCTACGCTGACTGGTCTTAACTACATCTGTTCTGCTGTCACCACACTGTATAGATTCAACTTCAACTCAGCAGGGTAACATTTAGTGTCGTGATTAATTGTCCTAACATTTTTATTAAATAGATGTGAAAATACTGGAATATACGAGATTTTGTTAAAATTATAAATATAAACAGGATATACATGCATGAAAACACCATGGGTAGCATAGAAAAGGTAGTAAGTTAGTGGTACAAACACCATCACATCGTTACCTCTATTGTTGGATGTGTTACGAATTTCCCTGTTCGTCCAGGCTTGTAGTACAATAAAAACAGCGTGTATTACTTTTGTACATGATAAGAATCATTTTACAGTAAATAGAAAACATATTCCACGTCAGCTATATGATGTGTTAGCTGCAATGCCGTGGTCACTGTAATCTAACTAGTTTTAGAAAGTCAGCACTAGACACACAATGAAGGCACCTTTGGTCATTGCAAACTAATAGACAAAAACAGTTTGTTGAAGAGAATTAATGTTTCCTTTGACAGCATTTCTTGAATTAGGTCGAATATGTTCAGAAATGGACAAAAAATCACTCGTATTATACTATCTAAAATACCTTAAGTGTATGCATTTGCAAAAGATATTATCATTTCAGCATGTCCAAGTCACACCATTTCATCTAATCAAGCCATGTTTTTTTATTCAGATTGTGCCACCAATTCCGTTTCTCAGAGAAAACGTATGATACACAGCGACATATCAACGAACAATATGACATTTCTGGGGGTCAGGACCCCTCTGAAAAAAAATAATTAATTGCCACTAATCACATGTTGAAATTATGTATAGCTAAATGCTTAATATGTTTATGTATGAAAACATTGACTACAAACTACAAACAATTGACTACAAGCTCTTAACTGCAATTTGTATAGTTATTTTTATTCCGTAAATAGGTGGAGTGGTCCGTGTATTACCAACCATATTTTTACTAACAATCAATCAGATATGTAATGCCAACCTTATTTGTATTGATTAACCGAATCTGTAATAACAAACAACACGATTTGTGATAACAATCAACTCTACTTGTAACAACGACTAACCCTATTTGAAATATCAACCCTATGTGTAATATGATTGGATATTCCCCTACCTGTTCATTATTAAATGATGTCATTGGTGTAGGCTTAACATTACGTATAATATGAAATTACTACTAACTCGTCTAATGCTCTTTGTATAAAAAATATTTTAACAAGAAGAGTACTAAACTATGTATACATAACTTACACTAGATAGATAGAGATAAAATATACATTTCAAATGTAAAATCCATTAAACCTACAACATACATGTATACATATGCATTAAGTATTTTACATTTTATTTTACTTCAGGCAGTTGATCGTCATGGTATTCGTTTTGAATCTGTGACCGCGCGCGTCGCGACATAACTTCCAACCACACCAAGATGGTGACTTCATCAAACTGAATATCACATACAGTTTGAGAAAATTGCTGAAAACTAGTGTTAGTCAGAGGACATTTAAAGTCTGGTAAATTTTGTTTTTAATTCAGACTCAGTTTGAAAATTCGTTTATAATAACCGTATTTTAATTATTTCTATTGCATGAAGTCATATTTCAGGCCACGGACAGAGGGCGTATGTTGGAACCACAGTGAAATCAATCAAGCAGTGTGCAGTATGTCGTACCAAATAAGTTAAATGTGTAACATCTGTATCCGTGGTTTTTACAGTAATTAACGTGCATGAACAAAATGTGCGGATTTTAAATGATCATTAACATGTTTTCATCTTCCTCTGGCGTCCAGTTACACGAATTCAATATATTTCGTGTGTATTTGTATGCGGTGTGCTTATCTCTTATATATCTGATTAACTGACGTCCGCAAACGTGTTCCGATTAACAGTAATTTGATTGCACAGATAGCAATTTGTTGCTAGCATAATGGGTACTTTAGTTGGACAGCAGCACTCGAGAGACCATTTTACAGCCAAATGTTGAATGTAGCATTACCTGTAATTTGGGTTTCCTGCTTTTATACTCCTGTTTTTGAATTTGAACGAATGTGTGTATGACCTACACATTTGTTGTTTTCTTTGCTTCAGTATTGGTACACATGTTGTTTATACGACCGCTTTACAACACTTCCAGTTTTCGTGTGGCTTGTTCCGAGAATGAAATGAAAAGATTTAAGTCCAGAGGAATTACATTGAGTTTATCTTGCACCAACAGAAAATACGCTGTTCTACACAAAATATATTTTCAACTACTTCTACATACTGCATGTATCTCGTATTGGCTGTCTGGTTTGTTTTAATCAATGACAATGTTTTTCTAATATCAGTGAATTAATGTTAACTTCCAGTGGAAAGTGATATTTTCAACAACCTATTTTAATGTTTGTTTTCATGCAAGGCATTTTGTGTTATGAGCAATTTGTTTATGTGTTGCAAGGACTAACTGTACATATAATAGTATATTATGTCAAGGGAAATAGGTAATATGGTTTGGCCTACGCGACATCTTCCTACCATATGACTATCAGTTACCTGCAGTTCTACGTCGCATTAAATAAATCTCTGTGGCTTTGAACTCTCCATTAAGTATGGGAATACTCCCGCTGAGTATGGATCGATCCATATGTTGGGGTTCAAGCTCAGAAACATGTTAAACGTTTGAGGTGGTAGAGATAATGTGTGTTGTCACGCCCCCTATTAAATATGTCTTCCGCATAAAATGCAATAATTTCTTTGTATATAGAAAAGTTCAAAAAGTGAATCTATGTACGGCAGCATTGTGAAATCAATGTAGTTGTAGATATGAATTTGGATATGCACGAGACTGTAATAGTGCGCGTCGTGACGAAACGTCGTGTCAAATAAACAAGTTGATGACGTCATCAAATAATATACCACAAATATATTAGAGGTCAAAAGAAAAAAGTATACTGAGAAAGTTGTTAAAAATAAGGTGACAATTGAATCAAAAGTGTGCAGAGCGCCATGGCAAATAAGTTAATTCTGTATAATGTTAACATCTGTATCCGTCTTGAAATTGTTATCTTCCTCTGAATTTCATTTGCACGATTTCAATATAGTTCGTGTGTGCTCATTTTATATATCAGATTAACTGTATTCCGAAAAAGCCAATAGATTAAAAGTACTTACATTGCCTACATAAAAAGTATCATTAGGCGCCGATTTAATTACATTAGACAACAACAGCCGACACCATTTTACAGCCAACAAGTTAAACGTTGGCATGGTAACCAGCAACTAATAACCAGCAACTGGTATTACTGCAATTTGTCAAGATATTGAAGATATATTCAAATATGTTGGAACCTTTAGTGGTCGTAGGATGGAAGGAAGTACCAATTCTAAGACTCAATTCATATGGTGTTTCGATGAAAAGAACTTTTTATTATTCAAGGGTTAGGGGTCAGTTGGTATCGATAGCATTCACGACACAGTTGAGGAAGAGGTTGAATTTTACCGAACAAAGTTTGAAAGGGGTTCTCATTCACATTAACATTTTAATATAGTCGTTTATCACATCTCACTGCTGTTACGCTTGCTGTGATTGGTTGAGACTCGGTCACATGATATTTAATAAAAATGTATATTGCATGGTATATAGCACGGTGTTGCTCCGTTCGAACATTTCTCCCTCCAC